TCGACTTCCAGTTCATGATGGGGATGGAACATACAAATTTAATCCCTTTCCCTCTCACAACACCATTGAAAAGACAGTACAGTTTTTAAAAGAGGAATCTATAACAGACCTGAAAACAAAGAAATCTCAATAGAATACCACATTGATTAAAGTATTTATCCATAATTGAAAGAAAAAAGGACTGAATTGTCTGAGAAACTAGAATGAACTTACAACATAAACTCACACACTGATGATGGCTGGTCAGGAGTTAGAGGAGTTCCCCTAGAGAATCTGTGGGTCAACCAAGGCAGAGAGAAGCATGGGTCTCAGAGCGATCAGTAATGAATAAAAGGATTACCTGTCAACACAGGTGCCAATCTCATGTACACCCACTGTTTACAGTTGACATCTGGTTGTTCAGTGTATCAACTGATGAATATTTAAATGTCATTTCTGAATAAGCACATTTTCTTTTAATGATGCCCACATAACTTCATTGTATAATAAAAAAAGGGGGCCAATTATTGAGATTTTTGTGGCTCTCAAATTTGAAACTGGGGGAAAGAAATAAGGGTGATTTCTATCACATCAGCGTTTAAGATATGAGACATTTCATGGAAAAATGCTTACCTCTCTTCTTTCTTTTTCTTTACTCACCAAGAAAGGAATGACTATGCTTTAAGTCTGTTTGCCCTCCTTCTTTCTTAGGTGGTCCAGACAAAGAGCAGATCTATCTGGTATGTCCTAGTCTAGAAGCTTATCTTGGGGAGCCAAGACATCAAGTTCCAAACTGGGACGTTTCATCCAAGCAGTTTAGCAAAAAATAGGGACCGAGGCACATGGCCAACATGGGTTGAATAGAGAAAGCAAGCAGGAAGTGGTCTAAACCAATATGGAACCTGTGCCGACACATACTGCAGGTAGATGAAACGTGCCTATAGCTCAGGTTTGTGTGGACAGTTGCATTGTTGAAGGATACCAGAGAAGAAACAGCCTGGAGAGGTTTACCACAACCTGAACCTAAAATCAACTAATGTAGCCACCCAGTTTATTCTCCCATTTTTTTTAATTTTTAGTTGCAAGATTAACCCCAAATCTCTTAACTATAAGATTCTACCTTTGCCTTCAATAGATGATTGGATACAGAAGATGTGGTACATATACACAATGGAATACTATTCTGCCATAAGAAAAGATGAAATAATGCCATTTGCGACAACATGGATGGATCTTGAGATTATTATGGTAAGTGAAATAAATCACACAGAAAAAGTCAAGAACCATATAATTTCACTGGTATGTGGTATATAAAACTGAAAACAACAAAGGAACAAGACAAACAAATGAAGAAAAAAATCTGGTAGACACAGACAATAGTTTAGTGGTTACCAGAGAGTAAGGGGGGAGGCGGGTGGTCGATGAGGGTAAAGTGGGATCAAATATACAGTAATGGAAGGAGAACTGACTCTGGGTGGTGAACACACAATGTGATATGTAGATGTATTACAGAATTGTACACCTGAAATCTATGTAACTTGGCTAACAATTGTCACCCCAATAAATTTTAATTAAAAAAAAAAAAGATTCCACCTTTGACACACCAAGGCAAGCAGATGACCAGTTCAAGGCCAGCCCCAATTTCTGCCAGTATAAAGCCAAAGTCAAAATTAAATCAAAATCCAGACATGGACTGGTACCCGGTACCCAGTGCAGTACTGGGTTGGATAATGGCATTCATGAAACTGAGGCCTCTGTCTCTTTAAGCACCATGAACTCAGATCCCACAAGGAAGCATTAGCGGACTTTGTTTAGGATTTGTGAGATTTTGCAGAGCATGTTGACCCTTTAAGAGCCTTCCCTGAAATCACTGGGACTTACAAGTTCATAAAAGCTATAGGATTGGGTCCCAAATGTCATTTCCACAGCCCCTCCATAACTCATGTGGCTTACGGAAGGAGTGAACAAAACGCCACGGAGCTACTATGTGCAGTTGTGTGCCCCCCCACTCCCTCCAGCCAGAAACAGAGGCAGTCAGCTTCACAAAGGGTTAAACATCATGGGGATTGGTCTGTACTTTGAAAGATGGGCCGGCTGAGTGGCTCAGTTGGTTAAGAGCTCGAGCTCTGAGCAACAGGGTCGCAGGTTGGATTCCCACATGGGCCACTGAGCTGAGCTGGTGAGAGTGCGTGCTCTTAGCAGCAAGGTTGCTGGTTTGACACCTGAAGAGCGGAGGGCTGCCCCCTTCCCTTCGCCCCCACCCCCCACAACTAAGATTGAACACGGCACTTTGAGCTGAGCAGCCGCACTGCTGATGGCTCAGTGTGCAACAAGGTTGCTGGTTCGACTCCTGCATGGGATGGTGGACTACAGCCCCCTAACCCCCATCCCCACAACTAGATTGAAAACAACGACTAGACTTAGAGCTGAGCTGCACCCTCCACAACTAAGATTGAAGGGCAACAACTTGACTTGGAGCGGATGGGTCCTGGAAAAACACAGTGCTCCCCTTCTCCAAATCCCCAATAAAATTTTTTTAAAAAGAGAGAGAAATGAAAGAAAGAAAAAAAAATATGGCATGAGACTCACTTCTTTACAAACGATGAGTGCTGGCATTTTCTTCACCTGTCTCTTCATCTGACAATACATGTTTACAGGTTTTACAATGTTCTTTACAACTCACCTAAAACACATAATTTTCCTCCTGCTTATACCACTTGCTTATGTTTTCATTTTTTAGATTTATAGTGTGTTTTCCTCCGACAGGCTCAAGGCACCACACAGTCAACTCTTATATAATCAACATTACATTAAACTCATCTTAAAAAGCATACCCAGGGGAGTCACCAGAGTGGAGATGGAAGGAGCAAGCACATGGACAGGGTGCAGGAAGAGGCAGGGGTCTGGTGAAATACACACCAAGTGGTCAGTATGGGAGGAGGCTCAGTGATCGGAAAGCCCTTTCAGTCATCCCCCACCTGTAAAGACCCCGACAGTGACTTCTAAGCCAAGTAACAGAGCCAAGATATCTCCATCTCTGTGCAGGGGTGAAGTGTGGGTGTGCAGGGGAGCAGGGAGGTGGTGGAGTATGCTAGTTATCTCCCAGGGCTCTGGAGAGGGTATCTGAAAACAAAGATACCTACACAGACAAATGTGTTTTGAAAATCAGTGGGAAGAGATACATGGCAAGGTTTTATCACAGATCGCCAAAATGTTAGAATTTTTTTTTTCCTAACAAATACAGTTCATGCTCAGTGCTGCTGAGTGCCTCTGAACTTCCAAAGGCTGTTGCAGACTTTCAGAGGCCAAGGCAGCCCAACAGTTCAAAGATTCTCAAAATCAAAAAGTGACAGGGTGACCTCAGCTTTTAAATACCAGGCCACAAGGATTTAACAAAGCCACTCCGTGATGTCCATGCCGCGGTGGAGGGGGTAAACAGTCACTCTCCCAGCAGCTGTGGGTAGAATGAGAAAGGAGCGAGTGTATTGTCATCTGCAGTCCACGGCAGAAACGACCATTCCCACCAAATGGAGCCGACAGTGTAACTCCTGTCAGTCCAGAGTAGGAGAGAATCCAGCCAGGAGGAAGAATAACAATAATAATCCTATTATTACTATTATTAATAGGAATAGTAGTTCTAGCAGTAGAATTCATAAGACTGTTGTTATTTTAATCTAATGGGTACTACGTGCCAGGCACTCTAGTGCCCTCATTACATATGCTAACCGGTTTAGTCCCCAGAACAAACCTGCAAAGACAACATGACCATTTTCCTAAAACTTAAAAATAAGGAAACCAAGACTCAAATCAATTATGTGCCCGAAGTCACTCAGCTAGGTAAGGGCTTGAAGTTCCAGCACACAGGGAGGGGTAAGAGGAGAAAAACAAGCCAGCATGGGAAAGTCACTGTCTGAGCTGACCGAGACCAGTCACTTGGATCCAGTCCCTCACCCTGAAAGCTGTTGATAGAGAGCAAACCGCACAAGAGCAGGTTTGAGGCCACAAATAAAGACCTTAAAATAAGGTTGCAGCAAGTGGGTCAAGAAAAGTACAGGATAAACTGCCTCCAGGAGACAGAAGAGGCTCAGCATGGCTGAGATGCTGTAGAGAGAGGACCAGCATGGTTATCACCGGGGCCTGGGTGGGTGGGGCCTGAACACGGGGGCCTGAAACCCACTGTCTTGTCTTGTGGGACAAATTGGGTAGTCGTGCCAAGTTCACCGTAGTGTTCCACAGTGAGTCGTTCTTAGTAATCCTTTTGTGATTCCCCTAAATCTACATGCCATGCACCGAGTGCTTACTAAGCCCCAAGCACCTAATATACATCATTGTGCTTAAACCTCACTGTGATGTTATAAGGTGGAGACCATAATCATCGCCACCTTACAGATGAGGCACAGAGAAGTTGAGTAAGTTGCCCAAAGTCCCACAGAGCTGGTGAAGCGGCCCAAGTGCAGGGAGTCTGACTGCACAGCCCATTGCCACAGCTGCCATGCTATGCTCCTTCTAGAACCTGACTGTTCACTCCAGCTCTCAACTCCTGTCTGCCACCCCCTCTCTGATCTGCCTGACCGCCCTTCTGAGAAGGAAACCAGCCAAGGTTGTCTCTCTTGCATTCATTCCTAGAGAGCCAGCTTATTTAGTCACCCATTATTTTTCAAGCCAATAGGAAAAATTGTGGGTTTTTTTGAGGGGGAGGGCAAATGTATTCGAGAAACCAGCGACCAATGCCAAAAGTAGCTGGTCCAATGTAAACTGATGTCTCAGGTCAGCTTGCACCAACCAGACACACAGCTGCAGGTTGGTCTTCAACCCTCACCACCATCAATCACTTTTGGGCCCACGGGAAGGGTCACAGCACATGAGCCTCTGCTGTGTGAAAAGCGACAGTTTCATTTATACAGTTAACAGACTCTGCAATCCTTTTCCTTCCTTTCTTTTTGCCGCTTCACCCCCACCCTCTGAAACCCACCAGAACTAATCCATCCCAGCCCCAGGGAAGGGCAACGAGTTTCTCCTACCTTCCACTTGATAAGCTGAGGTGGTTGCCCCCCATTGAAAGCCAGCAGGGAAAGCCATAGTTTCAGGAAGATACTATAGAAACTATAGGTTGGCCGGCTGGAACACTCAGAGAGCAGTTTGTGTTCTTTGGTCAGAGAGGCCTGGCAGTCGTTCAAATAGTAAGTGAACTTTCACTCCTGACCAGAGTCTTGCAATGCAATTATATTTGCAGGCAAGAAGCGGGCTGAATTAAAGGCTCCCTCTTGATTGGCTACCGCCTTGAGAGACATCCAAGACACTTTGTACCGGGAACACTTCTCCTTTATCTTCTGGGCACTCCCTGGTTCTTAACAGATTTGGACCAGCCTGGGTGCTGACTGTGTCCCTGCTTTGGCAGGGCACCCATTCATCTGATCTTTTCCCTTTTAATGAAATGCATGAACATTGCTTGCAGAAGTCACATAATCCTACCAGGATTTTCCCTTTCACAATCCTTACCAATTCCTAATCCCCACTCCTTAGAGGTAGCGATTTGCAACGGTTTTCTTCTGGAACTTTCGTCTCCCCTTATCTGAGGAAAAGATATTCCAAGACCCCCAAGTGGATGCCTGAAACCATGGATGGTACCAAACCCTCTAAGTGCAATGTTCTTTTCCTTTACATACATACCCTGTGATAAAATGCAATTGATAAATTAGGCACAGTATGAGATTAACAACAATAACTAGTAATAAAATAGAACAATTATGACAATATACTGTAACAAAAGTTATATGAATGTGATCTCTCTGCCTCAGAATATCTTACTGTACTGCACTCACCCTTCTTGTGATGATGTGAGGTGATACAGTATCTAGGTGAAAAGATAAAATGAGGTGAGTGACACAGACACTGTGACATAGTATTAGGCTACTGTTGCACTTTGGGGCCATTTTTAAGAAAAATAAGGGTTACTTGAACCCAGGACTGTGATCCACAATAGTCAATCTTGTAACTAACAGGCAGGTAGTGTCTACAGCATGGAGACGCTGGATAAAGGATAGATTCGTGTCCCAGGTGGGAGGAGTCTGACATCATGAGATTTCATCACCTACTCAGGAAGGCGCGCCATTTTAAACTTATGAATTGTTTACTTCTGGAATTTTTCACTTAATATTTTCAGACCGTGGTTGACCACAGGTACCTGAAATCTCGGAAAATGAAACAATGGATAAGGGACGAACCCTGAATTTATTTTCATGTTGTTTAAAAAATAGGCTGATCACTGGGGCTTCTTTAATTTATTTTTCGATTTGAGATGATGGCTATTGAATATAGGAATGGAAGGCCCTAGCACATGCTCGTGCATGCTTTCTCTCTCTCTCTGTCTCTCTCTGTCTGTCTCTCTCTCTCTCTCTCTCTCTCTCTCTCTCTCTCTCTCTCTCTCTCTCACGCATCTGCCCAAAAGGATAAGACTAGCTTGTGTTTAAATATTTGATATTTACATTACTATGACTATATATGGTTCAAAACTGAGCCATGTAGTATATACCATGCTTACATGCAACTTTTTATTTTCTCTGGGGTTCATCGACTGTCTGGTTGCTATATTTAATTTTTCTATAACTATCACACTAATTCATCCCCAAACACTCTGACACAACTATACATCTCCAAGTTGTTCAAATGCCTCTGTTTGCCTGCTCCATTCCGCACTGTTTTGTAGGCAGTCACAAAGCCAGCTATAGAATCTGCTGCCTCCTTCCTGTCTCCCGGGCTTTCTCCCGCTTTGGGTCTTCTCGCCCTATAAAGAAGCAAATCCTCAAGTAACTTTCTGGTAAAAGGGGCATGAAAGGTACATTTTCTGAAACCCTGTAGTTCTAGAACTGTCTTTCTTCTAACATCACACTTGATATGTAACTAGGGCATTATGGGATTTTATGATGGACATAATTTTCACTCAGAATTTTTAAAGCTTTGGTTCATGGATTTCTAGCTTCCAGTTTGGCTGTTGAGAAGACTGATGACAATCCAAGGCCTTGTCTCTTACACGTAACATGCTTTGTGTCCCAGCTCATGCTCCCTGCTTCCCAAGCTTTTATTTCTGAAACTTCACTGTCACGTGGCTTGACGTGAGGCTTTTTATCCATTGTGCCCAGTGCTAAGCGTGTGTCCCATAATAACGCAGAATGGTGACAAAAGGGGAAACTGGGTGAGGAGGTACATGAAAACTCACTGTACTAGCTTTGCAACTTTTCTGTACATCTAAAATTGAACCAAAATTAAAGTTGTGTTGTTTTTTCTTAATGCCCATGAAGAGAGGAGTCAGGCAAAATCACAGTGAGGAAAGTGACTTTCTCAGTTCCCCCAACTCAGCCCTAAACCATCCTACACTGTGTAATGACAGGGACACGACTGGAACGAGGTGGAACTAGGTTGAAATCCTACCCTCTCCAGCTTTCCTAACCCTCCGAAGGAGAGGTTAAATATACAAGGAAATTAGGGAAGGCATTTAAAGGTATACATTTGGTGAATTAAACATGAAAAATATAGGGTGTTCTATTAAACTGAGTCCCTACAGTCATTCAGCTCCGAAGCAATCCTCACAAATTGAATGAAAAAATAAATATTAAAATTGCTTTTCCTATGAGACACTAGATGGCAGTATTGCAATTTTTTTTGGCTTACAAGTTGATGTATGAAGTGTTATTAAAATTTAGTTATCCCACCAGTGGCCACCTACCCCAGCGACCCCGAGCTAATTGCTACTGTTCTCCTAGTGGTTTCTTTAGAAAGAACAATCTACCTTCTCAGCACGCCACATTGTCTGAAGTTATTTGACCACATACGGCAGAATTTAATCTTTCTCAGCTCCGATGGGATTCTCTAGTATAGGCTTCTCAACTGTTTTGGTATCAGGGCCGCTTTACATTCTTAAAAATAATTGAGGTCCTTAAAGAGCTTTTTAAAAATATGGGTTCATTTATCAATATTTACTCAAAATTAAAACTGAGATTTAAAAAGTATCTATCTACTGATGACTTCATTTTACATAAAATAGCCATAAAATGCATGTGAAGATAAAGAACATAGTTTACAAAAAAAAAATCACATAATCCAAAACAAAAGAATATTCAGAGAAGATAGTTTTACATTTTTGCAAATCTCTTTTATGCCTGACTTACAAGAAGGCAGCTGGGTGTTCATGTCTGTATCCTATTCGATCTGTTGCCTGTGGAAAACTCCACTGTACAGTCAGAAAAGAACAAGAGATGAGAATGAAAGAGGCAAATCATGTCTTAATGTCATTATAGAAATAGCTTTGACCTTGTCAATCCCCAGTTGGGCCTTGAGGACCCCAGGGGAACCTTAGCTCTCCTGGTGCTCTCTCCTCTCCTCTCTTCCAGTACCTTCCATTGCTCCCCACAATCATTCTGTATTCTTCTCTCCTTTCAGAGAGCTCATGCCACTAACATTCCCTGTCCCAAAGCCCTTCTGGCTATAAGGCATATGAATATGCAGCCACAATCTTGGGAGGGGGGGAGATATATATATATATATATATATATATATATATATATATATATATATATTATAAAAAAGAATTCGATTTCATTACCAGCAAGGCTGGCTGGTAATTTAATTTGTTATTATCTGGGTCCCCTCCATTCTATTTTAAGGCCATGCAACAAAATGTAGTTCTAATAAAGAAAACAATTTTTAAAAAAGGCCTGATGTCTTCATTGTCTCACCTCCCAGTTAATGCCAAGACATCTACTCTCTAATCTCCAACGTGCCATGGTCCTTTCAAGACAACTGACTCTGCTTTTGAAGCACAGGAACCCGCTAGGGGTGTAAATCCGAGACCATAGGCACAGCTCCCTCCTCAGGACCACACAGTAACTTCCTGGAGATCCTGCCACCTTTCCAGGGCAGTGCCTCAGGACAGCACACCAAACTGCATTCATGAGACCCACCAACCTCTGTCCACTTTCCAAGCCGGAGGGAAATACAAGGTCCTTGCATTATGGTTTTGGCTACAAGTATGCTCTCTCTAAGAGTCCTGGGAATGCTAAGAGACTATAAATACAGCGTTCTCTGGGGCAAAAATATATCTTGCAGAAGCTTTTCTTTGTTAGCTGCAAAACAAGCTGTTATTCAATAAGGACTCGGCCCCATTAGTCATGACGTTGACCCTCCCAATGTGCAATGCTGAGATTCAAAATCCCTGGCATGTAAAATGTTCCTGTGCACCTATGACAGAGGAACAGTACGGTTCTAAACTAGCACTTTTCTGTCTGCCGCAGAGACAGAAAAGAGCCGAATCCTGTTTCCTGTTCCATCTGGGAACACAATGAGGCCACATTTGTCAGCCGCCTGCAGTTAGATGTGGCCATCTGACTGAGTCCTGGCCAGTGGAATGCGGGCAGAAATAATGCACACCACTTCCAGGCAAGGTCGATGGCATCTGCCCACACAGTTATTTGTGTGCCATCCATATGTCATCATACCCCTTTCATCCACCAATGAGGTGCAGATATGCCATTAGACCACTCTGAGGCCCTAGGAACTCCTTCGATGGAAGGAGCCTGTTTCCTGTATCACCTCCGGGAGCAGGGCCCAGGACTGACCCCACACACAACCCACTTCAACTATGGTATGAATGAGAAATACAGGTTTACTTGGCTAAAGCACTGAGATTAAGGAGTTGCTGATAAAGACTCCCTCTGACTAATGACCATGTTTTTTTTTAAAGAAAGAAACCCAAGAAAAACGTTTAATAATTTCAAAGAACTTTTTAACCTCAGGGGAGCCTCTTTGGTATTATCGTGTCACTGGAAGAAAAAAGAAAGTAAAAGAGAAAGTGAAGGAGGGCCAGAAGGGGTGAGGCACTCCACAGGCAAATCCTCCCACGGTTGGTTGTGCAATGGATTATTCACCCCGATTTTCTTCATTTGCCAAGCAGACCTGGTCAAATCTTAGCAAGGATGCACATTAAAAAAAATACTTTCCAAATAGGGCTGTTGACTCCCAAGAACCATCCAGTTGTTTTTAATATTGCAATCATTCTAATTGCAATTGTACATCTACTCCCTATCAGGTCT